GTTTTCCCTTTAAAAATACATGTGTTTACTGTGTGTATATTTGTTCACATTCATGGGATGGAGGGCCACGTGTAGGGATCATTCCCTCTAATGTGTGGGTTCTGGGTATTGAGTTCAAGTTACCATCAGGTTTGGAGTTAAGTACTCTACCAGTGAAGGCATTCCCACTATCCTGCATATGCATGTTTTCCTGTTTTTTAAAAAAGTTAACTTTTTTTTTTTACTTTACATGCCTGAGTATTTCTGTTGCCATGCATGTAAGTTCCATTTGCATGACTCGTATGAGTGGAGGCAATAGTAGGGCATTAGAGAAGATTTGTCTCCATGTATGCATGCACAATGTGTGTGCCTGGACCAATGGAGGCCAGAAGAGGGAATCAGATCTCCCAGAACTGGAGTCTCAGAGAGTATAAGTCACCACCTCTGTGGTGACCGGTTCTTCCGCAAGAGTGCTGTGTGCTGTTAATTGCTGATCACCTCTTCAGCCTGTCAGGCTTTTCTTAGAGTAAAACACACTAGAGTTTATCATCCAGAACAGTATGCACTGCTAATGAAAAGCTTTCCAGTTTCTTCTAGGCTGTCTACCAATTCATTAATTATTGAGATGAGATCCTGCCCTCTAACCTAGCCTGCTTTCAAATTCCATGTGACCCTTTAGTCTCACTCTTCTAAATGCTGGGGGGACAGGCGTGAATGATCACTTCTGCTTCTGCTAGAATTTCTTGATGTTCACACACCGAGTCAGTCGGTAAATATCTACATCATCAATTCAAGATCTCCTGTTACATCACACACACACACACACACACACCCGCACACACGAACACACGCACGCAAGCACCCTGCCTCCCAAAAGAAGTTAAAGGCCTCATGTTGATAGCCTACTTACCGTTTTGAAAGATTCATCCCCATTTCTTCTCCACCGTGGGACAAATATCTTACAACTTTTCCAAAGCCTTCCCATGCATGCTTTTGGTTTGGGGGGATGGTTCTCCAATGTTGTTTACCTGAGACTATATGATCAGTTTTGCTGGCATGGGCTGGATGGCTGGGATGAAGTGGGAAGAAGAGGTGGGCTGTGTGAAGGAAAACCTGACACCCCTTACACACAGGAGCCAGAGGGAGCCCTTTGAACAGAGCTGAATTCTGTCCCATGACAGCAGTTTTCCCTGCCATTAGGCCTTGGAGCTGCTTCAGCCTGTTTGGTTCTGTGTTTTGTGTCTGCTGATAATTATGGGTAATTCGCATTTCACTTAGTCCTGTCGCTGCCTTTCTCCACAATTCCACCTTTTTTTTTTTGAACAGAGCTTTCCCATTTTACCCTCCTTTTGGTTCAACTCCTAGAGTCTCCTCCCTACCATGGCTTCTTTGTCAAAAGCTCACACTCACTGGCCGCCTAGCCAGTCCAAAGGTACTTCCCGCGATTTTCATTCTCGTGAGCCTGTGGTCTTGGCCTTATTTTCTCAGACAGCACTCTTCAGCTCTGACTCATTTTATCCCATTGCTGACTTCCGAGTCCGCGTGCAACCAGCACCTCCCTCTCTGGCTCCCTCTCAGCACTACCAGTGACTAGTTCCCAAGAAGTGGCCTCTCTTCTGTTTTTCTCTTCAAGTATTCTTCTGGGAGTCTATCTGCTGCTGTAGTTAGATTGTCACATGTGCAATTGGCATTTCCAGTTTGACATTCACTCTCTCCTGGAGCCAGTGCAGCTAGAATGGTCCCGTGAGTGCTCACGCGACGCTTCCTTCTGGAATTACCATCCCGGCTTGTCACTTGCCAGCACCCACACTGAAGCGGCCCTTTTCCCTTTGAAGGTCTCTGCTTATGGGTCGGAATCTCTCAGTGTTCAAACCCTTGGCCTTCCTTACATCTCTGTGCAATCTCATCAACACCATGTGGCATTCTCTGTCTCAGCCCTGTAGAGTAATTCCTGTGATAGCACTCATCCCACAAACATTGTGTGGCATTCACATCAGGGCCTCCTGTAGCATACTTACCCAATAGGTTTTGAAAGAGATGCTACAAAGGAAACTCACGTACACCCAGACATGTCCCAGTTTGTATTGCTACTGAAATACTTTCATTTCCTGCTCCCTTCTATGCACTTCTGGAGGCTTGCCTAACATCTAATGCTCTGCCAGTCCTGCTGGTACCAGTTCTATTAAGTAGTGCTAATCCTACTAGGCAGAAAGAACTACAAAAATCCCATTACATTTTTGTTTATTCACTGGGCTTTCTTTCTATCCAGAGGCCTTATCCGGGAACTACAAGTAGAAACACTGTTGTATTCATTTTTATTTTTTTTAGTCATACATATGATTATGGATCTGTGAGGGTGGGGTGTGTGATATATATAATATATATATATCATGTCCTACAAGACCAGCAGTTTCAGGTTCCCTGTAGCTGAAGTTACAGGCAGTTGTTAGCCACCTGACACAGATGCTAGGACCCTCTGCAAGAACATTACATGCTCTTAACCATTGAGCCATCTCTCCACACCCTGCAATTTCTCTACTTCGAGCCACGACCACCACACACTTAGAGTTAGTGCTTGCAAGCCATTCTAAATTAAGCCAAACTGAGATGAGGTTTCACCAAGGCCTTCGAGTGTTAGCAAACTATTAAAGGATATGCATTCAGATAAAGCCTGCTTGGAATTACCTTTGAAAAGTTGAACTGCTTGAGAATGTTATACATTTTTTTAAAAGACAGTAAGAGAAGAAGGGATTAACGCTCTACCCGGCGCCTTTGGTATTTTATGGTAGCAATATAGAAAGAAATTAGAATTAGTGAGGAGGTGCTACATGGTGCTTCATTTATTTTTCTGGAATTTCTGAAGGATGGAGGGTTTGTCATTAACTGTTTGAAGAATCAAAGTGGGATGCTTGTATCCTACATTGGAAAGAGTTACTCTGTGGGCTGAAAGGCACAAAAGGCCTTTGTTGTACTTGATGCAATTTCCTGAAGCACAGGCTAACTCCTTCAGGATTTTCAGAACTAGAAAGGCTTTCTAATGTCATCCAACTTTTATGAAACTTATAAAATCACTTTAAAGCATATAATTCTAAGCTGTATATAAAATACCTAGAATATAATTTGACTCTGAGTTTTCTTTTATTCTTCTAAATAATGGCAACATGATGCCAGGAGTTTATCTTTTATAATTTACATAAGAGTGTGACCAAGTCCAACCTTAATATAAATTATAGTACAATGGCCATAGACAGAAAGATATTTTAAAAAATATATGTAGATATTTTACTATATTCTTTTGGCAGTACATGTCTTCAACGTGTTACTTGGCTATTTTGAACATCAAAGCATTTGGGCAGTAATAATCAGAAACTATGCGCTTGTTTGTACTGTTTACTTATTAACTATTTTAATAAATCTTTTAAACATGTAATTATGTGTATGTGTGCATATTTATATGTGTGAGTGACCATGTAGCCCAGAGACATCAGATTCCCTGGAGCTGGAGTTACAGGCATTTTTGATTCACTCAATGGAGATGCTAGGAATTGAATTCAGGTCCTTTGCAAGATTGGTTATTTTTCTTAATCACGGAGCCATATCGCAGTCCTGTGCTTTTCTTTTTATTGTTGGTTTGCAATCATAAACATGCAAATCACTTATTCTGTTAGTCTGAACAATCCATTATCCACAGGAATTTTGAAGAAAATTGTGACTTAAGATATTATAGACGTGAACAGAGTGAGAAGTACCAGAGAAAGTGGAAGAGGAGAAAAAAGCAGAAGACATACTCTTTTGGATAATCCTGGTTTAAGTGAGCTTGTTTATATTAGTTATTCATCCAACTGGTATAGAAAAAGGATCACAGCTTCTATGAAAATAGATTCACATTATTATCTAAATTTTTCACTACAGCACTGCTACTAAAACTATATGCACAGTAAGATATTTTACCTAAATATTCTCAATAGAAATATTTCATTTAAAATAGTTTTTCTAAAAAATATTAAATAAACATTGGTTGAAGTAAAAAAATATTTACAGCTTCTAAGATAAGAACTGAAGCTATCCATTGACTTGACTTCATTTTCCCTATGACCTACGTGAACAGTTCCATACCCACACAGTGGTGACACATGCACAGATAGCTACCTGAAATACAGTCAGGAGCAGCCCACATTTGACAAAGAACATACATGTACTACATAATTCACTGAAGCGTGAATCCAGAGTTAAGAATTTCCAGCCATGTACGTTTTTTTTTTGTCATGTTTACAGTCAGGTTAACAGAGGCTGTTATAAGAAAAATATATTTTCTACATCTTTACAAAATATACTTGGAGGAGAAAGGATATTCTGAGTGTGAAACACAGCCTTTATTCTGTCAGGCAATGTAATTATGGAAGAAAAACATATCCACATTGTCTAATTAGGTCATTAAAAAGCATAAATGCGTCATGGAAGCTTTTCCCTCTGCCTAAGACATAAAACAAGACAATGAAAACAGTCTGGTAATATAGAAAGGTCTAGAATTTGTTTCTTTTCAAAAATAATAGGTCCTTTCATCTTTCTTTTTCCTTCGACAATTAATTTAGACTCAAAAATCTTCTAATTAGTTCAGAGTTCACCCCTGATTGTATTTCAGAATATTTAACCAGAAACAGGAAGATGGAGGAGGGGAGAAAGAAAATACATGGAAACTTATCAAAGGGAGTGAATGAAATCAAGAGAGCAGGCTGTTGATCAAAATGAATTCTGCAGAGTCGAGGTAAATACAAAGTCCACATTCACGTAAACACGGGGCAATCTGGGAAACCGGGAAGGTCTCCGGAGGAAAAGACTGACATCTGCCTGTGGGTCTTGAAATCCAGACTTTAATTACAGTTAACTTAAATAAAAACAAATGGCATGATTATTTCGCCTCTTCCTCTGTCTGCTGATTATTATTCCTTGAATTTCACAGAATCTCATTCCTCAAATCATTAGGAAACAGAAACTGGAAAATTGAAGGAGAGGATGTTTACCTGGGATCCCCGTGGCCCTCTTTTGTGGTCCCATTCTGAATGACCCAGGAGCTGTGAAGACAAGAGGGTAACTATGGTAAATTAAATGCATATTTTACGTCAGCAATATCTTTATCCTTGCTCTAAAAGGACAACTGAGCTGCTAAAATCTGTGTTCTAGTAGGAATAGGACTGAACAGGCATAGTGAGTAAATTAACACGAAGAAATGAACTGTCTTGATAGCTACCATTTCAAACTATCCTGGCATCAAAGGTATCTGAGTATCCCTGGGAGGAAGAGTCTGCTATGTGTGGCTTTACTGTTCTTTGCCGGGGAAATTCTAAACACATGCCACATTGTGCAAAGCTTCACTTTCACGTCAGTAAGCCTGCGGCTTCCCAGGGAAATAAACACTGTAAGTCACGCAACAGGGCTGTGTGATACGCAGTCAGCAAGGGCAAGCAGACGGCTGATTTTATTTTCTTAGTGGTTTTCAACTATACAGGTATATATAATTATGCAAATCCACTGTTCTTAAAATCCTACACCCCGTTAAGGCTGGAGAGATGGCTCATTTGTTAAGAGCACTTGCTGCTCTTTGAGGGGACCCGGGTTCAGTTCTAGCTCCTATGTGGTAGCTCATAACCAACTAAGCTCTAAATCCAGGGGATCTGACATACATCCAAGGACACCAGGAATACATGTGGTGCACAGAAATACATGCAGAAAAAAATAATCATACATTTAAAATAGAAATAAAAATAAGTCCTAGGAAAGCATACCACTTTAAGTAGGTCAAAATATAAAACTCCAGTAATAATATGTTAAAATTTGTTATCCAACAGAAGACAAATCAGCCAGTAGTAATAGTGTGAGAAGAATACAGACCATAATTAAAATTTGACTTTAAAATCTTTGACAAAAAAATTGAATGAGAAATTATTGTGATATGATAAGCCAAAAATAAACTAAGGTAATTTATGCTACTCATTTTACAAGACATAGTTGGCCACTGTACTCAGCAGAGTCATTGTAATGATTTAATTATCGTTTGGCTAGCACATGATTTAGTCAAAATTATCCAACTAACCATTATACAAAATTAAATGTTCACACAGTTCATATTTCTTTAATGCTTTAATTTTAAATTTTTTGATTTATGGGCATTTCCTTTTTCTGGTAAATGCTCATTAATTCTAATTTAAAATTGCTGGTGAACTTCACAAATGTTAAATCAATCAATCAATCAAATGATTGGTATGGCTTATGAATATTTAAATTGGAGCCATTTAATTACTTATTTTCTAGAACTATCAAAAGCAATTCTTGAAACATATCAATTGTCAGCCTGTTTGTGGCCTTGGGATTGGCTTGTACTAATAGCAGGAAGGTGAGGAGCTCTGTACAGACAGTTTGGTGACATGATGAAGTGTGCTCTAGCTGGTGGTGAAATGACTTAATAAACTGTTTGGGACAGATTATTTTATAGGAGCCTGACTCATATGATTGTCACCTGCCCGGCTAATGATCTCAAGCCACCAGGGCTTAGTGTAACTTGGCAAAGTCTGCTGCCCATTGCTGTCACAATAAACACAGATCAATTAATTTTCTAAATGAGAATTATAATTTGTATTCCATGGATTAAAGAAAGACTGTTTGCCTGTGACATCAGGTCAAGAAGGCAATGTTTTTCACAAACCAGAAAGAACGTCATGAGATTTCTCCTCTCCTCGGCCACTAGTATCTTACATATGTTGATGCTTTAAGCCCAATAATGATGTTAGTTCCATTGTATCCTGATTTGAGTCATCATGTATTACAGAAAATAACATCAACTCAATACTTTGTAAATCAGAGCTTTTAAAAATACTGTAAAAACTCACGGTCTCAGTTGGGCATTTTCTTTAAAAAAATTAAAACCTATACTTTTCCAAGTGCATTATCTTTTAGAGACAGCAATTTCTCAGCATCATATGATAGACTAATGAGATGCCATTAGTGTAAATGAATTCCATTTTGTTCTATTATGAATATGTATATGGCCTGTTTTATTTAAAAGGTATGGGCAGACCAAGAATGTGGTTTGCTTAAGATTTATTTATTTATTCATTTATTTATTTGTTTATCTATGTGTGTGTGTGTGTGTGTGTCTGTCTGTCTGTCTGCCTGTCTGCATTAGCTTATGTGTGCCACGTGCATGCAGAAGCCTGTAGGCGCCAGATGGGGGGCAGATCCCTGGAGCATTAGTTACAGACAATTGTCAGCTGCCTGTGTGTGCTGGAGCCAGGTCCAGATCCTCTCTAAGAACGGTACCTAGCGGCTGAGCCATCGCACCAGCCCCTGACTGTGGTGTATACATTTTTAATGTAGACTACTGCTGTTATTTTCAACGTCATTGAAAGCTACACACGGTTTCTATAATATATGTAAAATATAAATGAAAAACAACTAACTGAATATGGTAAGTGGGACACAGAAATGGTCTTTAAAAAAGGAGGGCATCAAGGAAAATTAACTGGACATTTATCCCTATGGGCTTAAGGCCTTAACCCTTAAATTCTATTTTTTATGAAAGCAATTTAACCTCAAATTATCATTTATTATTTCAATGTTGAGTACATGGGGCTTATTACAGTATTTTCTGTGATTGGATTTATTGAAGAAGCAGTGGAAAATAATCCTGGAAAAACAGAACCATGGGGCAAAAGGTTTTGGAAAGTGCTAAGATATTCTGCAGCCCCCTCTCTAGGCTAGTGATTGTGAGTGGAAATATTGCTAAAACAGACGTTAAGGAATAGAGCATGAACACATAGGAAAGCAATGGATTTCAGAGTGAAGTACAAACTGTTGTTTTTCTATCAACAAGAAACTTAGCTATTCCTTTGATCAATCTGATAGATTTAGTGTTACCTCACAGAAAATCAAAGCAGCCAGGGAATTAGATTTAAAAAGGAAGAAAAAAAACCACATTTATAGGCCAAGGACAACAAGGAACAGAAGTAGAAACTGGACATTTTCCTTCTTCCAATCTAACCCATATGGACTAAATCTTTGAGATAAATGAATGGCAGCAGGACACTCCAGCAGTTCTGGAAGAACTATCTGAAAGGATTAACTCCATTTGAGACAGTCCTTTGAGAGAGGAATGTGCGTGACTTTATGATGTGTTAAATATAAGAGAAGGAGGGGAAGCCCTGGAAAATACATACGCTCTGGGCGTGCAGGCGTGGTCTAGTTCAGAGTACATGGCTACTTAACTCAGAAAGAGAAAACTATCAATCTGTCACCATCTATTAAAAACTTTCCCCTGGTTATTCACTGTGATTTCTCCTTGGAAGAGTGACATTTTGATAAGTATCTTATGAGAAGGTTTGAGGCTATACAGGTCATTAATGTCAAGCCTACACATGACAGGCAAAAATCTTTCCATAGGATGAAGAAGTCCTGAGAGAGGGGGGGCAGGAAGTCCCTTGCATCTCTTTTCTGTTCTCATGAACCAAGATGATAAATAAAGATAAATTTATTCCTGGTGGACAAACTACGTGTTCTTCAAGAGAGACAAGTCTGTCACATGAAGCATTAGAACATCCCGGCCCTTTGACACTGAGTCATTTTCATCTTACAGAGTGAATTCCTCCTTCTCTCCATCTTATTTTCAATAATAAATTTCTGCATCACAGCCTTCAGCTAACAGTATGTTGCACAACACTGCCTTCCAAGGAAAACAAAACCACTGCCAAGCACAGAACTCAAGAAGTTCACAGGAGTAGCAAGGAGAGCAGTGGGGAAACACAGCGGCTCTATCTGAGCACAGATATTTTTAAGCGTGCCGTGAGAAATGACAAGAGATGGCATGATGCTTCCTTAGCTAATGTTTCTTCATCTGATGCTGACAGAGTTTCACGATGCTACCTTCTCCCAATATTTATTTATATAAAAATAATTGCCTTCACAGGGGCATCACGGGAAAATTGTTAGTGAAAGTCTGAAGGCTTCAAGAGAACTGCAACTCTTTGGGAAAGAAGTAATTATTCCTAGTATACACTTGGAAAGATACAGAGGAAAAATAATTAGCTGAGGCTTGTGGTATAGACTTATAATGCCAGCTAATTCGGAGTACAAATTGAAGGCCTGTTTGGGCTACAAGCAAGTCGAACACCTGCCTGAACAACTGAGTAGGATCCCTAGCTCCAAATAAAAGTTTTAGAATGGGCTAGGATACAACTTAGTTGGAAAGCATTTGTCTAGCACGTGCAGGGTACACAGGCTCAATTCCCAGCATGGCTTAATTATCAAAGATAAAGGATGGAGAATCAAGTCACCAGGATTATGTTTTATGTCACTCTAAAGAAATCTTCTTTGTGAGGGACAGGTTTTACTTAAGGTCAGGCTAACCTAGAACTCTACAGCTCAGGCTGGATTCGAGGTCACTGTGATGCTCCAGCTTCAGACTTAGTGCATTACATTTGCCAGTCACCTTGACTGGCATTAAGAAAACTATTCCTTTCAGATGGTGAAAATTACTAACACACATAAAAAAAAACATACAGAAGTAATTTACACAGGGGGAAGTCAGAGTTGCCACAGGGTCCATTTTTAATCACTTGATAACTTTTTTGTTCACTAAACAAAATTTTATTGTGTGTCTATGATGCACATAGCACTGATGACCCCACAGCTAATACCACACTAAAAATGTAATTTTTATTCCCTGGCATTCATAATCTAGCGAAGAAAGGAATAAGACATTCACAGCAGCAGCCAGTCCACATGGCCCTGATGCAGATGAAGGGGTTCGGGGTATCATGAGAGGATGGGGTTAGGTACAGGAAAGATGGGAAACAGCTGGAGCTGGGCACAGAGCTACTTTCCAGTACGTAAGCCCGAGAAGCCCCTTTGAAAGATGGCCTCTCGCAGAGCCTTGGAGAAAGACAGACAGACACACTCATAGACCTGGAGGAAGAGCACATCAGACAGGATTCCCTGGGTGCACAATCCCTGAGGCAGGAGCAAGAAGTGGTGCCTAGGAGGCAAGAGTGAGTCCCTCAGGGGCCACTTGGGAGCAGTAAGA